TATATAATATTGTAATAATTATATCTTTCAAGTACATTCATACACGTGTAATTATTGAAGAGCAAAATTGAAGGATAATATAATGATATCCTTAAGAGCATATTCTTAATATTCCTAATATTCTTAAATAAATATTTATTCAAGGAGAATGTGAAGATTTTATATCATTAATTATATATCTTTCAAATTCTTGAATGTATTTATATTTATTGAAGAAATAATGACAATTTTATCAATCTACTTAATTAAAGAATAGATTATATTTTCATAATTTGGAATTTGGGGCTAACTTTATCAATTCATGTGCAATATTAATGTTTTTATATAAATAATAATATTATTAATATTTTCTGCTTGTTCTTCTATTAGCAATTCTTAATAAAGTTATTCAAAAGTTAAAAGTTAACAACCAAAGCCTTCAGTATGCAAGGATCATTGAGTATTAAGCTATAAAGAGTTGTCTAATTAGTTGCATTAATTAATCAGCGGCCACAGTAGAACTAAAAGAAGAATATTGCTAGCTTACGGATATTATTGACTTTAAAAAAGTTTCTGTAAAGACTTATCATATTCCATCTAGTAGTTCTAAAGCCAGCAGCATTAAAGTACTGTGTAAAGAGAGCTGATGTAAAAACAGTTTCTGAATATATCTCGCATAATGTTGAATGTGAGGAAGTTTTCCCAAAGACGCTGTTGTTTTTACTTCACCTGAACTGTCAGACGAACAGCTGTGAAGGGTTCGCTCTGTGCATGGCTACTGGGGAATATGCTGGAAATGTGCTTTTGTTTTCGTTTTGACAGGCAGCTGGCTTGCACCTGAGCAAAACCGCAAGATGCGTAAACAACAGTTAGTTGTGTTTAATTGATAAACAAAGCAGAAGCAGCAGCAGCAGGAGCAGAAGCAGAAATAGCAGCAGCAGGAGCAGCAGGAGCAGAAACAACTGCAGTAGCACAAGTCCAGCACAGCACGAGCCTGTCACAAGACAGAGGGCACGAGACCCTGAAGGCTATTCGACGCAGCTTGAAATTCATTTGGACCAAAATATTTGCAACGTATGAGCTGCAGATTGCCGATTGTGAAATGCATTTCCATGAAGCAGCAGCAGCAGCAGCAGCCGCGGACAAAGGGCTCTGCCAAGGGACTACCGAAACAGCAGCCAGAGCAGCCTTGAAATTGCATTTTATGACTGGACATTAAGAGGGACCAGTTGCAAATGCAATGCCCAGCAGAATCAGCAGCAGCAGCGGCAGCCACAAGCATGCCAAATCAAGCGACCCATGCCAAGTTGACATTTTCCTAGCTACTAACTAGTCAACGGCCCAGGGGCAGGAGCCGTGTTGCTGCTGTCCTTCGCTTCCCTTTGCTACGCGCATGCGTGGCTAATCGCGGTACGTGTGTCCAGTTTTTGGCGACGGGCCTGGGCATGCTGCACGCGCCTTTAGTCACACTGAATTATGACGGGATGAGTGCAACGGCAGCTAGGCAACGAGCGCAACACCTTGAGCATGCCATTTAGTACACCCACCTGGCAGCCCATTATCCATTATCCTTTGGCAACAAGAAGCGTGGCTAATGCGCTGCCAGCTAGATAAATGTCGCATGTACTCAACAAATATATACAATATTTCAGCCCAATGTTAATCTCAGCAAAGGAAATAAGCAGAGCAGAGATAATAGAACAAAAGAGAGAGAGCGCGAGACACAAAAGAATATAATATTGAAAATAACAAGGAACGGCAAAATAACAACCGAGGAGAGCGAGAGGGATGTGAAAGAGAGAGAGAGAGAGAGATGGAATGAGAGTGAGAGAGGTTGAAAATGCTATGAAGTTGGTGATTAAATACATACAAGTAAATATATATAAATCTTTATAAATAAGTATGTAGCAAGAAATATAAAAACGTCTATTATAAATGAAATATATTGAATATGATTTATCAAAATAAAATATAATTAAATAATATA